CCGATGTGGGACTCGATCCCGGGACTCCAGGATCATGACCTGAGCCGAAGGCAGTTGCTTAACCAACTGAGCCACCCAGGCGCCCCTGATATATTTTTTTTATTTCTAACAAAGTGTTTTTGCCTTAAAGTTTAATTTGACTGATAATAATACAGCTGTGCCACCTTCTTCTGTGTTGTTGATGTGCTCCTGATACACTTCGTTGCATTCTCTTTATTTTCAGCCCTTCTGCAGCCCATGTTTAAGCTGGATTTTATTTCTTTTCATTTAATATGAGAATACCTATCCTTTAACTGATCAGTTTAGTTTATTTCTATTTATTGTGATTATTTGTACATTTATTTTATTTTTTTATTATTAGCCATACTTTTTCTTTGCTTCTCTTTCCTCATTTCCTGCCTTCTATTGGATTGACTGAGCTTTATTCCCTCTACTGGTTTAGAAGTTATACATTTCTTATGGGGGTGGTTTACTTTTACAATTTTAATATGCATGCTTGACTTATTGAAGTCTAAAGTTCATCAATACCTATACTCTCCTATCGCTTGGGGATGAGCTGTGACCAAGAACTTAATTATATTTAAACTTTCATTATTTACCTTCCTTCTCAAAGATGATCGTGTTCTAGTATTTTGGGTCCACATTTTCTCATGCCCTGATGATAGTCACTATCAGTATTGTTTACTATAGTCAATGCTTGCTTAGCTTTGTTACATCAATATCAATATTTTTGCTCACTTATTTTCTTGCTTCACCTTTCTTGTGGGTATGATTTCCTTTTTCTTCAAGTATATTCTTCAGCGGCTGTTTAAGTATAGGTCTATGAGTGGTAAACCCTGTTTTTCTTTGCTTGAATGGCAATTCACTAATTTTGCCCTCACTCCGGAATGATAGCCTAGCTGGGCACAGAATTCTAGACTGATATATATTCTTGCTCAGCACATTAAAGCTATTATTCCATGAACTTATGACCTTGTATAAGTAGCTTATAGGAATTTACTATCATTCTAATTGGTTTTGTAGAAGATGATCTGCCAAATCTGGTTACTTTAAGATCTTTCTCTTTGCCCTTGGTTTCCCCAAAATGTATCTAAATGTGAATTTGTTTTCCTTTATCCTGCTCAGTGACTCCTTCTGTTACTTTAGTCTGAAAATTCATGTCTTTGCTCAATTTTGAAAAAGCTTCAGCCATTATCTTTTCAAGTATTTCCTTTCACCTGTTCTATTCTCTATTGGAACTCCTGTTCAACATCCATCAGAGCTTATTCCTTCATGAATCATGGCCTCTCTCATTTGTATTTTCCTCTTCATGTCTCTGCTCTATTTTGTTCATATTTGTGTTACAGTTCATAAGTCTCTATTCAGTGGTTTCTAATTGTGTTGTGTAACACATGCATTAAGTGTTTATATTTAGTAACTATATTTTCATTTCCTATATTTCTGTTTTCTATACTTTTCATGGTGCCTTGTTTTCTTCAATTGTTTTGTTCCTGTCTGTAGTCCATTTAAACATATTTAAACTATAGCTTTTCTCAGATTACTCTATTATCTGAAATTTTAAAGATTTTATATATTTATTTGACAGAGAGAGACACAGTGAGAGAGGGAACACAAGCAGGGCAAGTGGGAGAGGGAGAAGCAGGCTTCCTGCGGAGCAGAGAGCCCAATGAGGGGCTCGATCCCAGGACCCTGGGATCATGACTAAGCCGAAGGCAGACGCTTAACAACTGAGCCACCCAGGCGCCCCTATTATCTGAAATTCTTGAGCATTTACTCTTGACTGTTGTGTCCACTGATGTTTAGTCATGGGGGATTATGTCCTTGAGTGTTTTGTAGTTTCGGAAAGTGAACTCATCTCCAGTATCTTATCTTTGGGAATCTCATGCAGTCTTGCAAACGCTTCTGCAAGCACCAAAGGTATTAGTGGCATGGAACGAATTTTCTGTGCTTGGGGGAGGGGAGGTCCCCAAACCACACTTGTAGTATAAAATCAGATGTCAAGCCCACATGAGTGCGAGCAGAAGGTATCAATTTCTCAACAACTCTGTCTTTTTAATCTAGAGCTCTCGCAGAGATAAGGTTATTGTACTGATGAGCCAACTTTTTCCTGACCTGTTTTTTTCACTGAAGATGTTCCTGTGAACCTTCAGGGCTCCTGGCTTTACCTGCGGTTCTAATTTTGCCTATCTTGCTTCATGCAGGACACAATCTTATTTTCTGACCCCAAATGGGTATGGAAATCTATCCTGTAGATTGTTGAACATGAAAGCTCCCTCCTTCCAAATGCCATAGCACCAATTCATACCTAATACTTCGGTTTTTTTTTTTTTTAAGATTTATTTATTTATTTGAGAGAGCAAGAATGAGAGAGAGAGAGAGTACATGAGAGGGGGGAGGATTAGAGGGAGAAGCAGGCTCCTCGCTGAGCAGGGAGCCCGATGCGGGACTTAATCCTGGGACTCCAGGATCATGACCTGAGCCGAAGGCAGTCGCTTAACCAACTGAGCCACCCAGGCGCCCCCTAATACTTCGGTTTTGAGTTCCCTCTTCATTTCTGGCACCTGGAGATTTCTCTTTTTTGTTTCTTAAGCTCAGCAATGCATTTTGAATTCTTTAATATATTGCATCCAAAATTCGGATCTCAGTAGCTTTTCTGACTCCTGTGTTATTTCATTAACTTGGAGGAAGCAGGAGAGAACCACCTGTCTCAGTTCTACTGGCCTGAATGTCCTCCCAACACTTGTAGCCATGCTTGCGTCTTCAGTTCTTGCTTCACCTATGAAGACAAGTCTAATTATCTATCCCTGGCTCCATTCTACTCTGCACCAAACCACTGCACTGAATCAGGCCATGCCCAGCCACATTCAAAATATAATGCAAGATGGCCACGGAGCTTAAGGAGATAAAGAAAGTAAGAATGAGTTCCTTGGTGATGTAAAGCTTGGGTCTGTTCATTGTCTAGGATGAAGGACAAGTTTAAACAGACCCCAGACCCAACACCCTATTCTGAAAACACATCACACACATAGATTTTACGAGATGGGCACCTGGCTGCCCAGGGAAGGCCATGAACAACCACACTGCAAGCAGAATTGCAGCTCAACAGAGGAGACTGGAGCTGCTTTCCTCTGCTAGGCGTGGGGGGAACAGCCCACCTAAGAAGCAGAACTGGGCACAGCTTGGGAAGAAAGGATTTACCTGTGTCTCCATACTCTCCAAAGATATTGATGAAGACGTCAGCATCGGTCCCCGCCCCAATGACATCACCGGTATACACCCTGACTTCATACTTGTTACCTGGGAAGGAGGACAGAGCAAGCCTCGGCTCATTAGGATCCTGAAGAGAGAAGAACAAAGGCCCCAAGGTAGCTACCACACCACCCACCCTTCCCTCCAACAGAGCCCGAAGAATCACCATTGCTATCAAGAACACAGTAAGAAACAAGCTGCCTGACATTGGTTCCAAACGGTCATTGCCTGTATCTATGTGTAGCAAGTTAAGGCACCACACACCCTAAACTTAGACAATGTTACATGTCAGTTATATCTCAATAAAGCTGAAAAGAAAAGTCAAATGGTCATTGCTAAATGGTGTGCACAGCATAAGTCAGGTAGAGGGAACTTCTGTTTTTATCTACTAACATGCTACCTTGGGATGCATGAATCAGCCCCAATCCAGATGCCACACTGAACCAGACCACCAGCCCATCTCCCCTGGATACTGAAATGCTTCTTACTGGGCCCACTGCACATCTACTCTGCCCTCTCCAATCTGTTCTCCACACTTCATCACAGTGTAAAAATTCACTGGGGAAAATACATTCTGCAAATGAAAATCAAATTTATATGTAAATTATCAGGGCCATAACCAATGCAAAAACTAGAGGCACTGAGAGTAGCCGGCAAATGCATGCTTAGTGGTTACCTCACTTAAAGATCTGTATTGCTTCCCGTATCTTTCCCCTATTCGCAGAACCCCATGCACCGTAACCTCCAAATGCCTCAGCCCTGGCCATGGCCTTGTGGGGGGATGGGGCTCAACGTAAACTACACAGCAGGCTGAGCTCTGCCTAGGTGTCCCCAGCTGGAGCCTGCCTTAGAGTGAAGGAGCTTCATGCAGGACACAATCTTATTTTCTGTTGCTGTGTGGTGCAGCAAGGAAGGCTCCTCTAGACTTTCTTTGGGTGCTAACAATTCCAAGGGCTGAGGTGATTTTCCCCTCCCTTTCCCCTTCCTTCAATGACTTTTTATTTTTTACGTAGGAGACTTTTGTTCAGATTTCTTATGCCCAATATGTGAAGTTTATAAAATTAGAGGTGTTTCACTAACTCAAAAAGGTATTTGTACCCCCCTGTTTATTGCAGCATTATTTACAATAGCCAAGACATGGAAAAAACCTAAGTTTCCATCAATGGAAGAATAGATAAAGAAGTATACACACTCACACACATGCACACAAACATAGATAAATATATAACGGAATATTATTCAGCCATGAAAAAGAAGGGAATCTTGACGTTTGCAATAACATGGATGGACCCTGAGGGCATTATGCTAACTAAAGTAGGCCAGTCACATAAAGACAAATACAGCATGATTCCACTGATAATGTGGAATCCAAAAAACAAACAACAACAACAAAAAACAAAAACACCCCTAAAAATCCCCCAAACCAGAACAAAACAACCCCAAACCCATAGATACAGAGAACAGATTGGTGGTTGCCAGAAGTGGGGTACAGGAAGTAAACAAGATGAGTCAAAAGGTACAAACCTTCGGTTATAAGATAAATAAATTAGGACCCGTAATGCACAGCATGGCAACTGTAGTGAATAATACTGTATTGCCTATCTGAAAGGTGCTGAGAGAGTAGATCTTAAAAGTTCTCATCGCAAGAAAAAAATGTGTCATTATATGTGGTGATGGATGTTAAGTGGACTTTTTATGATGCTCATTTCTCAATGTATATACATACCAAATCATTATTTTGTGTACCTGAAACTAATATAATGTTTTATGTCAATTATACCTCAATAAAAATAAACTGGAACTGTTTTAATTGAGGCCCAGAGTTCCAGGCCCTCTGCCTGCCCATCTCCTCCCATCTCCTTCCTAATGTCCTAGCCCCCAGGGGCTTTCTCCTCCGCATTCCTTGGCTCTACCATGTTGTCTGTGTCAATGATTTCCAAGTTTACCATCTATCGCCTTGCATGGTTAGCTGTTTCCTGCAGGTGAGGCTTCCAAGTTCTTCAAGAACTTAAAAAAGGTCTGGGGCAGGACCTCCTTCTCATGTATAGCCCCCCAAAACAGCCCCTAGCACATTTTGCTGAGCACATACTAGAGTCTCACTAAGTATGTCAGAAAGCAACCTGATTCGCATTTCCTAAAGCTCAAAGTCCCAGGGAAGTCACTCAGGGCAAAGGAGTGAGGTGGGGGAGATAAGGAGAAAACTTAATTACCCAGTTCCTATCTTGAATCCTGCCCAGCAGCTGCCATCTAGAGATGACATGATGCAGAATGTTGCAGGGCACCCACAGAGGACACCCCCACATATCGACAGCCCTGAAGGCTGATCTTTAACCTGCTGAGAACCTGAGCTGGGAGGGAACAATTCTCTCCTTGAACCTCACTTGGTGAGATCCCTCACAAGAGAGGGAAGACCCTCCAATTCTTGTCCCCAACCAAAGAGCTCCCAGATTCCCACCCCACTTTCTTCCCCATGAAGACCCCTCTGAGATGGGAGACAGAACCAGGGTCTTCAGAAGAACCCCTAGGTCAGTGACTTGAAGTCTGAGCCACATTCAGGTTACCAGGGGAGCTTGCCGACCGGGCAGGTTTCCAGCCCGCCCCCCCTCCCCGAAGATCCTGTGACATATCTGTGGAGGACCAGGAGGGCCCTGGCCGGTCCAGCAGCCCCTGCTCCTGATCATCTTCCAAGTCGCAGAGGCCTCTGGCTGCGGGCTGTTCTTTCCTCCTCTGAGAACCCTTCATTTGGGTTCACATCCTTTCTCAGCTCCAGTCTAGGGCTTACTTCACACACAGAGGCAAGTGCCCTCTGCAGGGTGACAAGATGCCCAGGGTCCCCTTGGCTGGTGATGCCAGGGTGAGGTGGGGGCTCGGGGAGGCCCTAAAGGCCACTGCTGAGTATCAGTGGGGCAGAGAGGGCGACAGGACTCCAGAAAGAATGGGGTACAGTGCAGCAGGAGGAAAGGGTAAGGGGGGCTGGGGAGCCCTTGGGGAAGGAGCAGCAGACATTCTGCATCATTCCAGAAGGCAGAATTGGACTTAGCACTTGAATTATAAAGAAGGATATTTTAGCTCACCAAAAGAAACATTTTCTAGTAGCTAGGGCTATCCAACAAAGGCATGAGATGACCTTGGGGAAAGTTAGTTTCCCATCCCTAGAGACATCTAAGCAGTCACTCTGTGACAAGCACATTGGTGGAGAGCCATCTGTCAGGGAGGCTGTAAAGAAAATACCAGAGGTAAAAGAATGTGAGAACACTAAGGGTCCTTTTCAGTCTGCAATTCCATGACATCTGACCAGGAAAGGCAGGCTGCAGACTAGAGAGGGAAGCCAAGAGATGGGGCGGGGAGGTGCCCGAGGCCGGTGCAGGCAGGCCTGGGGAGCAGGAGCCCACGCAGGGCTTTGGGAACACAAAGCATCCCCTTCCCAGGAAAGTCCAGAGAAGCAGGCATCAAGGCTGAAATAAGGCCACGTAGGAGACAAGGGTGGAAGGAGTTTCCAGAACTTTCCAGCTGAGGTGGACAAGGGGCCCAAGCCCAGGGGTCAGAAAATCAGATGAACAGAATGCAGGAAAAAGTCAGTTCTGGGATAAGGTTGGACTGTTCTCTAACCTCTGCAGAACTCTCTATGACAAGATGGGGCCCTGGGTTCTCGTGTGGTTGGCTGGGTGAGGAGCAGCACCCCCGTGTGCCAGATGACCTCCTATCAAATTGAGGAGAGGCCGAGAAAAGCAGCAGGGTGGACAGGCATACCTCACAAAACTGTTCTCTAAAAGACCCCGAAGAGGGACAATGAGGCTTATTATATTACTGTTCTCCGGCTTTTCTTCCACATTTCCTCTCCAAGCAGAACCCCATCCTATCCGATGTGCCATTTTTCCAAACAAGGCCTAGGGCCCTGTGCCAACCCTAAATTGTGATAAAATGCATATACTGTTGAGAGAACATGACGGGATAAAAGCAGGGCTTCATTCTCTCATGGCTGGCCGACTCAGCACAGTGCATCCGGCCTTACTCCCAAGTGGTCATGAGAGCCCCCCACTTACCCATGATCAGGATTTCAATGAGCACAAACTTGCCATTCTGGTCACAAGTGGGTTTGTTTATGTTGAATTCACCCCTTAGATCTGGTGATGCGTGTGAGAGCAAAATGTCCGTATGTGCAATGTGGCTGCCTCCCTGGTGAAAGGACCAGCCAGAGGGGAAGGTCCCAGGCCAGGAAAAACCCCTGCCCCAGAGGCCCGAAGGGAACAAGGGGGGGCCAGAGAAAGCAGATGAGAGCAAAGAGTTCAAAGAGGATGGCCAGGGCTGGCCCACATTCTGGGTCACCGAGGCCTTGCAGCTCATGAGGCCCCTGCATGTCCTTGATGTCATCTGAACCATACAACGGCCACACGATACAGGCAGAACAGATACTGTTGACATTCTCATTTACAGATGAGGAAACGGAGGCTCAGGGGGCAAGGCGCCTTGCCTGGGACCACACAGCTGCTAAATGATGCAAGAGGGGCTCAAAGCCAGGTCTCTTTTCCCTGAAGCTAGGGCTCTTTCTAGAATGTGTCTGGGCCTCTCATTCTCTGTGCCAAGGGGTAGGCACATTTTTTCTGTAAAGTGCCAGATAGTAAATATTTCAGGCCTTGCAGGCCACCTGATCTCTTTTGCAAGGACTCGACTCTGCAGGGGTATCATGAAGGCAGCCATGAGCCATACGGTAGTACCCCCCTCCCCTTACCTGCGAGACTACGGTGGAGATCCCCAGAGGATGCCTGCGACCCTGGCACGCACCCACCCCTACAGAAACTAGGTTTTTTCCTATACAGACACAGAGATTACTAATAATGTTACAACAACTGCAATAATATGCTGTAATAAAAGTGGTGTGAGCGTGGGCTCCCTCTCTCAAAATTCCTTCCCGTACCGGGCTCACCCCTCCGGAGATGATGGGAGAGGACAAATGCCTGCATGATCACCACGTGAGGAGAATGACGCAGGCTCCAGGACTCGCCTTCCGACCACCGGTCAGAAGTGGGGCCTCTGCTCCGGAGGCGGAC